GTAGGAAAGGAGCCCTGGTGCTTGCTTAGCTGGAGAGCGGTCACCGGTGCGCCCAGCCAACGGGGACCGGTCCCTCTGTTTCCGATTTTGAAATGTGCTCAGGTACTAGGGGGCTTGTGCTGGGAAATGGTCCTTTTTTTTTTTTTTTTTGACACTTTTTGCCTTTTTTTTTTTTTTTCCATCTTCTCCTAGTAAAAGGATTGGCATCTTTAGGTCTTCGACCCTGCCAGCAAGCACATGTTAGAGCAACATATGTACCAAATTTCCAGGATGCTTAATAAAAATAAGCGATGGGAAGGGTGTTTTTTTTTTTTTTTCATTAAAATGGGCTAAGAGATGAAATCTTCAAAAGCAATTGTAATTAAGATTGCAGAAATGCATGCTAACATTTCAAAGATGCCATCAGAGCTTTGTTGCGTATAAAGAAGAGCTGCTAGCTGGCCCACTTTACTAAATCCTGAGCAGTACTTTTATTTACTTTTTTTTTTAAACTCAATTCCAATTTACGTGGATGCAAAAATGTTTTGTTTGAGTGCCAAGCCAAACAGAGTAACCAATGTAGCAGGACGAGTATGAAATGAGTTTGGTGCAACTGAAGTGGGGTGTACTGCAAGTAATCAGCGCTGTCTTAGGAGGTCCAAAGTTTAAAAAGCTGAAGTTCCATGGTTTTTCTTTTTTTTTTCTTTTTTTTTTCTGAGAAGCTGTTTAAATGCTTCATACTTTTTTTTCTGAAGAGACCAACTGCAGTGGATTTAGCGTTAATTTAATGCAATTAAAATTTAAAAAGGATCCTTAATCTGAATATAAAAGGGAGTGCTTTATTGAAGTTGACTCTGAACTCAGAATAGGTATATACTTTTAAATTTGGTTTTATGATCGTGTTTCGTTCAAGTGCTGTTAGACAACAAAGGAATTGTGTTTCCAAAAAAAGGTTGAGCAGTACTGATTAGCACGGCAAAGGCTGCGTTTAACAAGATTAGTTTTTAAACTAAACCAGTATATTTTAATTTTTTATACGCATGGACGTAACTTACATTGTGAATAACATCTCTTTATAGAATTTTAAGTATTTGAGACACTTTATTGTTTAAAGAAAATTTGCTGACTTCATCGCAAGTATAGCCTAGTAAAAATGGGGCCTGGAATAGTAAACTGTTGCAGAGCTGAGGCACAAACTGGTAACCTTCTGACCTCTGACTTTTACTGGAAAATGATATGCAACATAAATTCAAGGGGCCTTTTTTCTTTCAAGTATGTATACATATATATTCTAGTGGTGCTGTTCACAATGCTGCAGCTGAAGTGGTGTCAGCATGTTCATTAGAGCCTCTCACTTTCGAGGCAAACTTTAAACCCCCGAGTTTTTTCAGGGCGAAAAAAGTTGCTACAGAAACACGCTTTGAACTAAAACCTGGCGTTCGGAGGGAGTTTTTGGGCTGGGACAGGGCTGCTCTTTTGTTCGACGGATGTGCTGTGTTTATGTGTGGACGTGCCTGCACCAAACGGCTGTGGGGAGGCTTTGCAGCATGCTCCCGAACCGCTCGGGCGCTTTGGAAATGGAGCTGCTCAGTTCCTTGTGTACTTTTTAAGGTTTGAAGGCTTTGTTTTCTCCTAAATGTGGCGTTTTATTAGTCTGGAGTGCCAGGCGTAGCTGATACTTTACTACCATCATGGTTTGCTCCTAGCAAGGTGCGTGCTGTGAACTCGGACAGGAAGGGTTTTCGGAAGGGACCGTGGACTTGAGAGACTCGTGCCCCATCAGATATCCACGGGAGGGCTGTCAGCAATGCTTCTGAAACTTTAACCCAAATCCTGTGGCAGTTTTTATTGAGGCTAGATTTGCTGCGAGGGCTCAGTAAAAGGCATTTTGTGAAGAAGGCTCATTGCATTAAAACTTTAGGAAGGAGTAAACAAGGGGGAATTTGCTAGCTAGGGCTCTTGGGAAAGAAGTTTTGGAAACGAGAGCCTGCCCAGTGGTTCTCTGTCTCTGGACTTGCCTTCTGGCCACTTGCCACCCATGGGAAATGCCCTTTTCTTCTTTTCTGAGAAATGGGGATGAGGGAAGAGTAGCTGTGGTCTTGCTGAGCTTTGCTTTGCGTTCGGTTTGCTCTAAGCCCCCTGAAGGCTGAGATTTGGAGGGAATCTCATTTGCTTAAGTGCACCCGTGCCCCCTATATACACCTTGTGTAAAAAAAAAAAAAAAAAAAAAAAAAAGCACGTTTTTATCTGTGTTGCGCAGGAAAGAAGTCAAAGTAATCCTGAGAGACCAGAAGGGAAAAGAAGAAAAAACAGCAGACACCCTGCCCTTCCCTAGCCGCCTTTTGGTTCAAAATGCCATGATTTCCAGGCTTTTTTTTCAGAGGCTTGGCAACACGGTAGCCAAAAGCACACATAGGCCTCTGCCAGCTGCTGCTTTTCGGGGCAGAAAATCAGCAGGTACCATGGCACTGGCTGATGTACAGCAGCCAGGTGATGGTGCAGGCTGAGGATCCACCTGGCCCTTCCAGGGAGCGCAGGATTTAACCCGGGATGCAGTGGCTGCACACTGCGTATGGTGGGCTGCCCTGGTTTTAGGAGTTTGCAGAAGTTCCTTTTGGTGCCATCATCCCAGAACACATTTGCTGTCTGTGGAGATGCATGAGGTGGGGGTGACTTCGCCTGGGTTTTGGTGGGCTTCACAGATGGTTGTTTAAAACCATTTTTCCCAGCTGCAAGCAATGGTTGTGGCCATACCGGGCATCAGAGAAGGGACACAGCCTTACCCCAGACTGTATTAAAGTCTGTTTTGGGACTTTCTGGAAGATTTTCTCCTCTACCTGATACATCACCGCTCTTAATCCCCGCAGAGTGCATTTTTAACCTCTCGATGGCTGTGTACAAAACACATGGAGCAACGCAAGCAGGAGAGGCTCCCTTTCCTGTGAGCACGTTCAAGTCTTGTTTAAAGCATAAATGCATTTACTTAGTAGATAGCAACGACTCCCAGCTGCTTCAATCTATTGGAGAAATCCATATTTAGCTGCCAGGGAGCCGTTCTGAAGCCGTGTGCCACTGAACAGCAGGACATGTTATTGCATAGCACATTGACACAGCCTCTTATAAAGGGCCGGTATTGTGGCATCGAGGCGGATAGCTCTAGTACAGGAATGCAGAATAATATTATGGAAAAGTTTCTAGGGCTGCCTTCCCATTGCTCTGAGCTCATTGTGAAGGGCCTGCGGAGGTCTGCTTCGAAATGGTGCAAAGGGAACCAAATTTACCCAGCGGAGAAATAACCTGCAAAATTCTATTAAAAAAAAAAAGAAGGCAGCAAGTTCTTAGGTCTAGTCGGGCGATGCAGCACCGGCTTGTTTTATTGCAGGTTCTTTCGGAGAGCCCTGTTTGTTTTAACAGATCTATTCTGCTTGTTTTTCCAAGAAGTCTGGCCAGAAGGATGCTGAACAAAGCCCTGGTACGGTCACTTCTGATCCAGAGTGGGGCCCTTTAATGCCCGTGTTTAGCTCTCCTTCACCACTTAAAAGAGAGACAAAAATCCACCAGCGTCTCCTTTTTGTGCGTATTGTTTCTTTTCCATTTTTTTTGTGTGCGAGCCTCAGCCCCGGCTCAAAACATTTTTTTAACCTCCCCAATCATCGCTGCTCTTTCAAGCGGCGGGTGGAAAGCGGCGATATTTCTTTATCAAAATGTATCAATGGCTGCAATGTTTTTCAGGCCTTTTGTGGGACTTCGGGCAACCGATAGGCAAAAGGCAATCCCGTTTATTATTGCAGGGAATCTCAAGGCAGTTGTTTGGAGCCGGCGAAGGCAGGCGGCAGGGCCGGGCGGCGGGGGAGAGAAGGGCCACATTATGTTCCAGATGACTGAGCAACGATTTATATACCCGCTCGCCTTTTTACATGGGGAAGAAAAGTAATAAGAGCGCCGAGGCAGGCATTTGAAGCGGTCAGATGGCCGATGACTAATGGGATAGGTGGGCAGGAGCCCTCGGATTGGGCGTCTTAATGAGCACATTTCGCACCGCGTTCGGGCTGCAGTTCCCCTTCACCTTTGCCCTTTATTGACCGAACCGACACTTCATTTTTCACATACTTCCAATTATGGCTTAGCTTAAGTGTCGCCCTGCCTCCTTTATTTCTTGCCCGCGAACGGCTCGAGAAGGGGCCGAGGCCGCGGAAGATATTTTAATTTGAAAAACTGCCGTGGCCAGCCGGGTTTAGGGTGTAACCTGAAACTGCTGTCACTTCGCAGTTTCGGGCGACGAAAACAAAAGTTTGTACATTGCTTGTTTAGCCCTTTTCGTGTGGTTCGGAGGGGTGGGCTTGGTTTGCAGCGGGACAGGTGCTGGTGGCAGGAGTCTGCTCGGGGAGGTAACCCAGGAGCAGGAGCTGTGCCGTGCTCCATCAGCATGGGTGGCTTGAAGGACGTGTCCACACTCGTGCAGCTTCTGCTCCACAGACCTCTTGTAGGGCGATGCCCGGAGATGTGCTCCGGCTGGCTGACGCACTGCACTCTCTTTATGGACCGGAGGAAGGCAAAGCTTAAAGGTTCTCAAGCCTTGGACCATTGTGCGGCAGCATTTGTTGTTTTGGTCGTATTTAATGCATGACTGTGTGCTGCAGCGTGGCCGGGCTGTGAGGCTCTGCCAGGCGGCTGCAGACGCTGCCGGTGGAGGCGCAGGCAGGTGGCATGGAGGGGAGGACAAATCTCCAGCTCTACTCCCTGCAGGGCCGCGATGGATGCTGTGCAGCCCGAGATTTGTGTGCTCCCACATCAGCTTTTGCATGCAGGATCCTTCCAGCGTGGAAACGCCTGTTTGCTTTTGCAGTGCTTTGGGGGTTTCCGAGCGTGCGGTTTTCCGACCGAACGCGAGCTCTGTCGGAAGCAGGCCCAGTAAGTCGTGCTCGCATCAGGTGGGTGGCTTGAGGAACAAACCAGCTGCTGTTAGACCTAACTTCCTGGCGGCGCTGCTGGGTTTTGCAGCGTGCCTCTCGCCACCCGGC